TAATTTACAATTACTGAAAGAATTTTAAAACTGAAAAGTTAGAAGATGAAGTAATTTAAATAACTACCCGTTAAATATTATTAAATTAAATGATTAGCGATATGACAGTGATAATATGAAGCCTAAAATTAATTTAGGTCATAAATCATTTCAGTAATAAATCAATAATCAATATTTTCACAGACACAAAATCCCAGTAAGTTTAGTAGCCAATTTGATCAATTTTTTGATATTTGCCTTTTCATACATTATTTCTTGAAATTGGTGTAAATCAAAAAATTGTTTGACTTTCGAGTTTATACTGAATTGGATGGATGGAGATCAAATGACCTAAAATTAAGAATTGAATTCGATCTATTTCAAACAGATATATTATTAGTTTATTTGCGCCCTATAAATGCTAAAAGCTTCCCGCAAAGCAAGAAGGGATGGATTTGCACATACGTAATTGAGTGGGCGGTATTGTCTGAGTTATCGAAGATTGCAAGTATTAGTCATTGTGATGGCTGCTTGTTGCGCAGATTTGGTTGGGCGGTTTTGTCGCATATTGTTAATAATTTTAATTATAGAGGAGCGTTTACGTGTAAAAGGAGGAAAAATTACTGCAATGCAACTGAGAGAAAAGAGAGAAAAGACTCCGCGACATGTCTGCACGCATTAGCAGGATGGGCGCTTTTGAAATTCATAGTGGGCGCTTATTGCAATTGCTTTCTTCCGCAGCGATAAATTTACGAATTGTCTTTTGGTCAATTGCAATTATTGATTGCTTATTGTCTTTGATCTTTGGACTGTTTCCACTTCCTCTTTGACATTCATTTCAAAAGTTTCCACTCACATTGTATATGCAACTTCTTTGTTGGGTTGGTTTGCTAATGGAAAGATGGCTGAATGTATCGATTGTAGGTCAATGTAAGGCGGAAGTGTCACAGTTTGGTTTAGTTCAACTTAGAGACTTTTCCTGTCGTAGTTTTCTAGCATAGAATTATTGAATTTTAATTATGTCTTTTTGATTAATTTTTTTTTTTTTTTTTGCTAATAATAAGCTTTAAAGTTTTTATATTTAGATTTCAAAGAGGTGAACAATTATTACAATTATCAATTGTTAATTAAGTTTTAGTAATTTAACAGCACAAGAAAATATGACATTTAGATTTTTTATACTTTTCATCTGTCAAGTTTTTATTCCGATGCCTACTTTTTCAATTCGAAATTGCCAAAGGTTTAACAATTTGAAATTCTTTCGTAGTCGAATGAATCTTTCCATTTCATTTCTTCCTTCTTTTGCATTGTTTATTTATTTGTTTGCTATTCTTTTTATGTGTTGTCGCACTCAATTCTGACTTTTTGTTGTATATAAAGTTAAATTGGAAAAGTGCGCCTTTGACAGAACACATCGACAATTAAGCAATTTACTAAGAATCATTCCATGTCTTGAAGGAATCATATAAATATATGAGATTGGCATGAATTAAGAGAAGTTGAATTGATTGATCTAAATCTTGAATAAAATTATAGGAATGGGTCATTCAGGATGACCTTATCTACTTCCTCTATGTTTAGAGATGTTAATAATTAATACCGACATTGTATCAAAAATGCTTATTTTTTATGCTCTCATTTTAAACCTTAATTCAATTTTAAAAATTTAAAAAAAAATGCCCTTATTTGCAATCTTAATTTAATTTCTAATCTATCAAAAATATGATAAGCAGACGGACAAATTTTTATTTAATATTTCAGGGTATCTTGGTAAAATTTATAAGTTGCAATTAAAATTATCTGCAAAAGCTGTCCTAACTGTCCAGCGATAATGACATTTTTTTTTTTAATGTCTTTTGTTTAAATATCATACTGGACTAAAGATTACCAACTCTATTCTTACAATATATAAATGTTGTGGAATTTTGAGTACATTCAACAGGTGTCTGTACTTCCATGTTTACAAATCAATCATATAATAGAGAAAACAACCTAAATATCGTTTGATTTTATATTGAAATTAATGTTTTGGAGGTTTATTTCAATATTTATATGTCCAATTGTTTTTCATTTTTATCACCAGTGATAGCTTAACTTACTCGGCAAGTACACATAGGTAAGCTACAGCTAATTAAATAACTTTTGTTTGAGAAGCTATCATTGCTACCTCAAACTGGTCGATATTCATTGGGTTAACAGTAATGGCTTATTTAAGATTTAGTTTAGAAAGTAAGTTGTAAAGTATGTCATATTTTCAATATTTCTCAATTGTTACCATTTCTACGCTGCGATAAATGCAAAAGTTATAATATGACAATGAATATTAAATTTTTGATTCAAAAATTACACTTTTTACATTAAAGGTATATAAATAAAGAAATGAAATTAAAGAATATGAATAAATGATAAAATTTGTGATAAAATTAAGTTCAAAGTTGAATGATAATGAGATAATTAATATTTGAATAATTTGATACGTTCAATGTCAAATAGTTTCTCATTGAAATATTTTTCAAATGTTCCAACTACAATGATTTATTCAAAATAAATAACAAAAATAAGTCTGCTAGCATTAAATTGAATTTTTTATTAGTTTTTTTTTTTTTTTTTGGGATCAAATAAAAAAAAAATGTCACAGCAGTTGACAATTAGTAATATTTGATAACGCTGAAAATTTATGTGCCCGTAATGATATGTAACAATCATTTAGTGATAATAATTTTAACAATGACAACGAGAAAACCATATGCTCACATACACACACATACATACGCAGACACAGACACACACATACATACGCAGACACAGACACACATACACGGAAATGTATTTTAAATCGTTTCAATTTGAAATGTCCCAAAAGTCATTGCTCTTTTTAAATATATTTTATAGAAAAGTTTATATTAGAGCAATTCGCTCTTTTTTTTTTTTTTTTATTTCATATTGCAATTCATTAACAATTTCTTCTCTAATTTTTCTAATTAATATGTGTTTCAGTGATAATTACAAAAATAATTAATTAGTTCTACAGTAATTCTAAAATGTTAGAAATGGAATTGGAAAGTAATAAAAATATAAAATTAAGCATTACAGTGAATTGATTGATTGATTGATTATTGGATAAAAATTATTTACGCATTGTGGAAGAGAAAAACACGTGAAAATAAGTTCAGGAAAACGTGTATTGCATTTGTGGAAATATAGGATGAATAGAAGAATATGAAGTAAGGAACTAAGCAAACTTAACATTCTTGACGTGTGCTCACGTGATCGTACGATTACATCTAGCTATCATGCAACAAACAACTTACAATGTTTATTATCAAATCATTCCGTGACGTGTGCTCACGTGATCAAACGATTACATCTAGCTATCATGCAACAAACAACTTATAATGTTTATTATCAAATCATTCCGTGACGTGTGCTCACGTGATCGTACGATTACATCTAGCTATCATGCAACAAACAACTTACAATGTTTATTATCAAATCATTCCGTGACGTGTGCTCACGTGATCGTACGATTACATCTAGCTATCATGCAACAAACAACTTATAATGTTTATTATCAAATCATTCCGTCTTTCTTGCTGCTAATTAAAATTATTAACGTAAATATTTTGTATGTATTTTTTATAACTGTAATTCTTGTTTTCTTGTTTTTTTTTTTTTTTTAAATTTTACGTTTTTATGCTTAACTGATCAATTAGCAATTATAGCACTTCAGTTTAATTCGTAGAAAAGAACGAAGAAAGCAAAATTAGCAACGAACATTTGTAAATAATTCTTTTTTCTTTTATATCGAAATAAATAATTACAGAAAACTCAAAAAAAAAAAAAAAAAAAAAAAATAAAATAAAATAAATAAGATCCGAGCGGAAATTGAAACTAAAATTGAGACAAATTTAATCAAAAAACGACTCAGTTTATCATTTTTAAATTTGTAAATCTATTCTTTCATTTTAGATGAGTAATTTACCGATTATAATAACATCAAATCAATTTATCATCTATTAAATCAATTTATCATTTGGAAAATTTCATTCACAATGTCACATTTTTTCCAAATATTTCTTGCATTGTTGCAATTTGAGGAAACAGCGTCGTAGTATATTTAGTCTGTTATCAGTTATCATTTCGTGATCAGATAAGGATTGAATGCTTAACAAAGTAGCGCAATTGATGTCTTTTAGATAAAAAAAGAAGGAAACGATAGTTTAAGAATACATAAAAATGGGAAAAATGATAATCAGATAAGGAGTCTTTTGATTATTTCTTCTTAAATTTAATAAATTCATTTCATTTGAATTATCATTGGATTTTAAATTTGTTAATATCACTTAGGATTTATTCATCTTTCTGACAAATTTTAACTTTATGCTTTTTTTTTTTTTTTGATTAAAATGGACAGAATAAAATCATTTGATTACTTTAATCTGATGAATAATTAGTTAAGAATTATAAAATATTTTTTTTTTTGCTCCCTAAATTTGTTTCTTGATCGTAAAAGATATTTTTTTTATTTGAAACTATCTATCTGATTTAACAATGTAATTTTGAAGTTTGACCCACTAGTCTCATACACAATCTTACAATCAATTAGTACATGCCTTTCATTTTTTTTTTCATATTTAAGAAACTGAAAAGATTAAAGCACAGAAAAAAAAAAATTAATTAAATTGAAATGAAATATACTACCAATTTATTTACAGTTATGCATCCTACGACGACTCAGATGTCTATCTCTAATTCTCGCAATAGTCAAATATTTACTTAAAAATAAAACAATAAATTAAATTTTTTCATCTGTTACCTAAATGACAAATAAGTGCTTTCTGAAAACAATTTCTCTTATTGAATTACTTTTTTAAATTTATGTACTTATACACACATTAGAATATATCTTTTCGAAATGCTAAAAAAAAATGTAATAAATGTGTCATATGCAAATTTTGCTTTTGTTTAAACAATCTTTTTTGAAATTGCTGATATTATTTCATCTTATAGTGAAACAAGAAATGGCGAATAATTCGATATTAGAAGATTTACCGGAAGTGAAGCAACTTTATCGTCATGAGATAGCATTTCCAGCATACCGCGGTGCTGATTTACTGAGAGTACCTCGATATAATAAGGTAATACTTATATATTATTATTTAATGTACATATTTGTTAATAAAATTTAAAAAAAAAAAAGTTATTTTATAAAGTGGATGTAAACATGTAGTAGCTAATATTATTTTATTTTATTTTATTATCATAGAAAATAATAATGTCAAATATTTCTGCTTGTTAGTTTAATTATTTTAAAAGGAATAACAAACGAAATGCATTCCGGTAGATAACATTTTATAAGATAATTCAAAATGAATATCATGAATTTACATAAAGGATTTATTTAGAATTAACTGTAAATTATAAACAATAGAATTACTACTTTATACTTATAAAAGAACTATTACTTTTCTTCTTATTGTTTTACTCATTTATTACTTAATTGAGGTTTAAGTAATAATTGAAAATGATTGCTTTTTTTTGTTTTAATTTAGAACAAATGTTTTTAGGGAATGGCTTTTAGTCTAAGTGAGCGACAACATTTGGGAATTCACGGTCTTTTGCCAGCAGCATTTGAAACCGAAGAGTTGCAAGTTTATCGAGTGATTTGTCAATTACGAGAGGAAAATGATAACCTTAAAAAATATATTATTTTAGATAATCTTCAGGTATTAAGTAAATAAATTCAGATAGTAAATTTTGATTTTCAATATACTATTTTGTAAATAAATGAAAAATTGCTACTTTACAAGTTTAAAAAATGATTAAATTTCTCAAACACATTTCAAAGTAATTTTAACACATCAGTCTTTATCTTAGATTTTTCATTTTCAGTGTTACTCACTGAAAATTATTACTTTTTACTTAATACAACTGTTTTAATTACTCCTATTGGCCAGTTCCTTTTTTTTTTTTCTATTTGAGTTTTATTTTTTGCTTTGAAATTTATCTCGAGAAAAGATGAATTTCAAGGATCAAAACGAGAAACTTTATTATCGTGTTGTTATTGAACATGTTCATGAGCTACTACCAATCATTTATACTCCAACCGTTGGCTTAGCTTGCCAAAAATTTGGCCATATTTTTCGACGACCAAAGTAAGGAAAATTTTTAAGGAGAATTATTAATCGTTTCTGTTTTTGTTTATAATTTTTAAGAAAAGTATAGAAGTTTTTTTTTTTTCTATTTACTGATACCTGATTAGTCTTTTATCTTTTACAAATTTAACATTCCTTCTAAAAGAAAATTCTTTATTTAATTTTCGTGGGTTTAAAATTTAGTGGAATTAATCGATGACCTTTAAAATTTAATGAAATTAATCGATGACCTTTAAAATTTAATGAAATTAATCGATGATCTACTCTTAAGAATACTTCTTAACTTCTTTTTCAATATTTTTTTTTTTTTTTTTTTAAATTTGAAATTAGGAATTTACTAAAAATGCTTTATTGTTAGACATATTGTATTTCAGAGGTATTTATATTACAATAAATGATAATAGCATCAGTAAAATCTATCAAATATTAAGTAACTGGCCAGAACATGATGTCAGGGTAAGGTTTAAATACTTTTTATTATTTTCATGAATGATGATGAAGACTTTCTCGTATACGTGTAACCCGGACATTTATAATAAGGATCATCATGATAGATAAGATACCCGTATTTAGGTATTAAGAAACCTGATAGATAAGATACCCGTATTTAGGTATTAAGTAACCTGATAGATAAGATACTCGTAATTTCAAAGACAATTTTTATGAATTTTTGTGAAAAAATAATCAGTGTTAAAAAGTTCTCCGTTACACCTGGAAAAAACTTAAAAGACTTGAATAGATAATATGAATTTCAAAAATTTAAGAAGAAAAGAATGAGAAAGATAGAAGTGATAAGCTGCCAGAAGGGAAAAATAAATTTTCGAGAAATTCTTAAGTAAAAAAATGAATTTGCTAAATTTCATGAATAAATTAATTAAAGGCTATTGTTGTCACCGATGGTGAACGTATTCTTGGTTTGGGTGATTTGGGCGCATATGGTATGGGTATACCAATTGGTAAACTATCATTGTATGTAGCATTTGGTGGTGTTCAACCTAAATGGTGTCTGCCAATTGTTCTCGATTGTGGAACAGATTCTGAAATAAGTTTTACACTTTTCATTTTTTTCAAGAAAATTTGCTTCAAATTTAAATTTTTGTTGAAATTAAAAAATAGGTTCATTCAATGAGATAAATAAAATAAACAAAATTTGCTTCAAAAAATTTAAACTTTTGTTGAAATTAAAAAATTGGTTCATTCAATAAGATAAATAAAATAAATCGTTAAAATTGTTGAAAATTTAGTGAATCAAAAACAAATTAATCTTTTGAAAAAAAAAATTACAATTTAATAAATTAATTAACAAATTAATCTTTGTTTTGCAATTTATTTATAATTAAAAGTTACTATATAGTATTCAAAAGTATATAATATTTGTAGGAAAAAAAAATTAATGCAATTTTTTGATAGACCTATAGAAGATATCATTAATTTTAGGAATTGCTAAAAGATCCGTTTTATATTGGATTAAGACAGAAACGAGTACGCGGTACTCAGTATGATTTATTGATTGATAATTTTATGAAAGCATGTGTAAAGAGGTGAATTAAATTATTTTAAAAATTATTCCATAAGATTATTACTATCACTAGTGATAATTGAATGATTACATATTGAATAGTATTACAATATATTTCAATATATATTTCAAGGATATTTCAATTTTAATTGCATTGTTATCAGAAGTGATAACTGCATTATTCAAATATTTGAAGTCGAAATATTTTATTGTAAAATTTAAGAATGAAAATTTAAATTTATGAATTTTTTAGATTTGGTCAAAAAACACTAATACAATTTGAGGATTTTGCAAATACAAATGCAGGGCGTTTATTAGCAAAATATAGAAATGAGTATGCGACATTCAACGATGACATTCAAGGTGACATGTGCTAGAAATATAAAATTATTCTAAGTATTTTATCAGTGTTTAAACTCCAAAATAGTTCTCAAAGAAAAATTATTCACAAATTTAGATTTATTTCATGAATTTTGCTTAAAAATTTTATTCATTTCTATTCATCGCATTCTATAAATGATAAAACGTAAAAGTAAATTGCAGAGAATAGATGGATGCATCGGATTTACTTATCATTCCAACTTCTTTCATTTCCTTTTTTTTTTTCAGGAACTGCATCAATTGTTGTTGCTGGCTTGTTGTCATGCGGAAATATTTTGCAAAGAAAAATGAGCGAGCAAATATTACTGTTTTTGGGAGCTGGGGCGGTAAAGTTTTTCTTTTTTTTTTTTTTGCTGAACTATTGTTAAATTAATTAAATTTGTAATCTTCAGTGCAAATTTATTTTCATACTAAATCCAACTTAGTTCGAGCATACAAAATATTCATTTGAATCTTTTCCGGAATATTATCATCAATGAATATTAAAATATTAATTTGAAAATACATAACACTTTCAAAATATTGGAAAATATTTTCTGATGTGCGAAGAGATAGAATGCTTTATTCTAGCAAAAGAGTTATTTAGAATAAAACTAGCACAAATTTAAGTAAAGCGTAGAACAGTCAAGCAGTATTGGAGGGTAGATGACATCTTGAAAAGCTAAATTTGATTCGAATTTACCTCCAGGCAGCAACAGGTACCGCCGATATGTGCGTGCTGCAGATGCAGCGCGAAGGTACATCAGAAAAGGATGCATGCAAGCGCATATTTCTTATCAATAGCAAAGGATTAATTACTGTAAACAGTCCAGTAGTAAAGTCAGAGCATCAAAAATATGCCAAAGAAATGACGCATATGAAAGATTTGCTCGAGGTTAGCTTACTTAACTGATTGCAATGAAAGTTTAAATTTGATTGTATTTGTTGTTTTCGACAAATACAAACGCACAGTAATGGAATAATCAAATTATGCAAGAAAAATAAATATATTTACCTTTTTTTGATTGTGGCTATGATTTTTAACAGTTTGATAAGAAATTTTAGATCATCGAGAAAGTACGACCAACCGGTATTATCGGTGTATCAACCGTTCATGGTGCATTCTCTGAACAAATAATACGAAAAATGGTTGAAATAAACGAACGACCTATTATTTTTGCATTGTCAAATCCAACGAGCAAATCTGAATGTACTGCTGAAGAAGCAATCCAATACACTAAAGTAAAGAATTTTCATTTTTGAAATCATATTAAAGACATTGCTTAAGATCAATGTTTTTTTTTTTTAAGTATTATTAAAAATAACTTCAACAACATTTTCTACTGCTAATTCATTTGCAAAATTGAACAGTGTTTTTTACCCATTCATTTACATATCGAAAAACTTTAACACTATCTTACCACAATCAGCTTTTAATGGTAAATATGAAATTTGATTGCTGTGATTTGATGGCTACTTAAAATTTCATCAGTCGTGATTTCCTGCAAAAATGTTCCGAATAATATTTTCAAATATCATTAATATGCTAATAGTAAATTAATCGTTTACTTACGTTTATTAATAGAATTTAAAAATATTACTTATTATAATAACATCGATTTAAGAATTAAATTTGAATGTAAAATCTAGAAATTTTTTATTTTCGAAATAACAAAGCTTTTTTTCAGGGAAAAGCATTATTTGCAAGCGGTAGTCCATTTCCGGATGTTAATTATGATGGGAAGTGTTACAAGCCAGGGCAAGGCAATAATTCGTATATTTTCCCGGGAATTGGTTTGGGTGTTGTGTTATTTGAAGTGCGACATATCGACGAAGAAATATTTTTGATCGCTGCTAGGGTTACTTTTATATATTCGAAACATGGGGTGGGAACGATATCAAAATTGCTTTCTTTTTTATGATATAATATACAATCCATCCGTCTTTCTCCCAATACAATTGTTTGGTTTCATCGGAAATTCTTAATTAAATTTTTAGGAAGTTGCGTCCAGCGTAACCGAAGAAGATATAAGTTTTGGTTGTATTTACCCGAGTCTTTGCAAGATTCGAGAGATTTCAGTTTCTATAGCTTTGGAGATTGGAAAATATAGCTATAAGGTTTCTGTGATCTTCTAAATTTTTTTTAACAAATATTTTTATGCAATAAATGAAAGTTCCATTATTATTTTTTCATTTCCTATATTATAATTTACATATTTGTTGATATTACTTACCGAGCAAAACTTCATTAAATAAAATAATATCACTTATACATATCTTACAAATTAAAACTTTGAGTCACTAACTTTTAAAAATCCCTCATTAGATTATGCATACATTTTAAATGTTTAATAAATTCCATGAAAACTAACACTTTCCAATTTTTAGCATGGAATAGCTGGTCTGTATCCGCAACCGGAAAATATGGAGCAATACATTCGATCACAGATTTATTCCGTAAATTACGATGAACTGATCTATAAGCAGTACAATTGGCCAGTTGAGGACACCATAAAAAGCATTCCTGTTTTACCAGCTAAAGAGAACAATAGTTGATTAAAAATTTTCTCCATCCATTCAATTTTAAATTCCATCGATGCTAATATCAGTTGTTTAATATACTGAAAATTTGTTATAAGCTTTTTTTTTTTTTTTAATTTGGAACTATCTTATATTCTTAAATAATCATTGGACATTAGTTGGATGTTTTTTTCTACTGTTCTACTGCAACTTACCTTATGATTCACTTATTATGAAACAGCCATTAATTTTCCATTTGCTCGTAGAATTTCAATCAATTGCATTTATTTCGAGCAAAAAAAAGTATTTTGAGCAGAAACATTTATACAGATTGGTGGGCCTAACTACTGATCTGTTCATTTTCATTTTCAATGTCTAAAATTTCATAGAGTGTTATATATTACTAAAATTTGATTGCATTATGCAAGATATTTCATACAAGCAGGAAGTGAAGTAAATAGGAATTGAATGAAGTAAACAAGTAAACAATGACTTATATTAAAGAAAGTTAATTTTAATAGAAGTTAGAAAAGTCATAATGTCCTAAATCATACATATTAATTGAAAAAAATCTACCCTTGAAAAAATCTATTGAACTCAATGATGGAATTATTAATTATCATTTTCCAACAACTCCAAATGCTCGGTTGTTAAATTGTTATTGTTAAAAATTTTCGTTTTTTCAAGTTCCAAAAAAAAAAAAAAAAATATATTTTATATTTTTCCTTTTTTTTACAAAAAAACGATGTTTTGATAATCTGTAGTTTTCAAAGCAGCGATGCTAATCATCAACAAAGGAAGCTAATTTTGCTTTTCCATCTTGGAAATAATTTTTACAGTTTTTTTATACTTTATGCTGCTAATAACTTTTATAACATATATTAAGGAAAAGACCATTGGACAAAAGTGGCAGTTCAAAAAGAAATATGAAGATAATTGTTATGCATTTAGAAACAAAAATAAACAAAACAAAACTTACGAATAAGATTAGTTGAAAGTTGAAATATATTCACCACCATTCGACCATATTTCTGATTTTTTTATCTCATTGAACTGTTTCTTTCCAAAACAAAATACCGAAATTAAACAGCAATAAACCATTTCCATTTTTTTGCACCATTGAAGTAGTGCAGCATGTTTGGGCTTTAGCAAAAAGTAGAAAGAACCGAAGTGTAAACCTACAAAAATTAAAAACAATACGATTGCTTCTTTTCTGGAACAACAAAAAGTAATAAACATGCAGTTTTCAAATAAGAACAAAAAGAAAGATAAAAAGGAGTGTCAATTGTTATCAAGAAGAGCAGAGCCAAAATAAAATGTAATTTTAAAATAGATTAACTGAACTGGAAAAGCAAAATAGGAAAAATTCCGTGAAAACATGCATGAACTATAGCTAACAAAAAGCAAGAAAAGAATGAAATGAAGAAAAATGCAAACAGCAACAAAGTATGCAAAAAAGTAAAGCGAACAAATGGCATGCGAAGTGCGCAAGTTTTAGAATGGAATAATGTAAGACAAATTAAGAAAGCATGCATGCATGCAATGTTAGCAGTAAAAATAAAAAAAAAGAAGAAAAAAACGAAAAAGCATGCAAAATAAGTAAATAATAAGGAAAAACGCATGCAATATCAGTAATAACAGCATAGAAATGAATAAAATTGATGAAAAAAGCATGCAAGATAAGCTGAATTAATAAAATATAATAAAAAAATACGCATAGTGAGTAGAAAAACATGAAAAATAAAGCAGGTTAAAGTTCAAAAGGCCGTGTAAGTAAATAATAACAAGTAAGAAAAGCATACAATGTTAGCAACAGCAATAGAATAATCAATGAATGAGCAAAAAGGATGAAAAATAAAGTAAAGTAAATTTGAAAAAAGCATGCAATCAGTAATAATTGTGAAATAATTAATAAAGCCAAGGTGCATGCTTAAGTAAATCAAAGGAAAAAAAGAAGGTTATACAATTTTAGCAATAACAATAAAAAAATAAGTATAAAGTAAGTAATACTAAGGAATTCAGTAATAACAATATAAAAATAAGTATAAAGTAAGTAATACTAAGGAATTCAGTAATAACAATAGAAAAATAAGTATAAACTAAGTAGTACTAAGAAATTCAGTAATAACAATAGAAAAATAAGTATAAACTAAGTAATACTAAGAAATTCAGTAATAACAACTGTTTAGCAAAATCAGTGAAACATGCAGTGTCAACAAAGTATAGAAAAATGAGTGAAATTTATTAAAAAGACTATAAAATAAGTAAGATTAATAAGAAAAGCAAATAAAGAACAAAAAAAGGAAAAAAGAAAATAAAATAAATAAAAATAAGGTGCGTTAAAATGAAAAAATGAAGTATAAGTAATGAAATGTAAAAGTGAATAAGTGGGTGAAAAAGCATGTAAAATAAAATTGGTTGAAATAAAAAGAAAATGCAATGTCAGTAATAACAACAGAAAGATGAGAAAGCGAACAAAAAGTATGCAAAATAAGGTGAACCAAATTAATAAGCAAAGCATGCAATGTTAGTAATAATAATGCAGTGATTAGTAAGTCATGCAGTGTCGCAATAAATATAACGACGCAATTCATGCAACACGCATGCAATTCAAAAAAATAAATAAATGAGGTAACTTAAAAAAAGATATGCAATGTCCTTAATAATAATAAAATAACTACTAAAGTAAGTGAAACAGCAAGCAGAACAAAGTAAATTATATACATGCAGTATTAGTAATAAGAATGAAATAATTAATTAAAGAGATCAAGAAACATGCAAAAAAAACAAGTCAAATTTAATAAAAAGCATGCAATGTGAATAATAAAAATAGAATAATTAGTAAATTAAGCAAAACAGCATGCAAAATGAAATGAGTTAAATTTAAAAAAAGCATGCAATGTTAGAAATAACAATGGAACAGTTAGTGAAGCAAGTCAAAGCACATGCATAATAAAGTAAGTCAGTCAAATAAGGTGATAAGCATGCAATGTGAATAATAAAAATAGAATAATTAGTAAAGTAAGCAAAACAGCATGCAAAATGAAATGAGTTAAATTTAAAAAAAGCATGCAGTGTTAGAAATAACAATGGAACAGTTAGTGAAGCAAGTCAAAGCACATGCATAATAAAGTAAGTCAGTCAAATAAGGTGATAAGCATGCAATGTGAATAATAAAAATAGAATAATTAGTAAAGTAAGCAAAACAGCATGCAAAATGAAATGAGTTAAATTTAAAAAAAGCATGCAGTGTTAGAAATAACAATGGAATATAGTTAGTGAAGCAAGTCAAAGCACATGCATAATAAAGTAAGTTAGTCAAATAAGGTGAAAAGCATGCAATGTGAACAATAAAAATAGAATAATTAGTAAATTAAGCAAAACAGCATGCAAAATGAAATGAGTTAAATTTAAAAAAAGCATGCAATGTTAGAAATAACAATGGAATATAGTTAGTGAAGCAAGTCAAAGCACATGCATAATAAAGTAAGTTAGTCAAATAGGGTGAAAAGCATGCAATGTGAACAATAAAAATAGAATAATTAGTAAATTAAGTAAAACAGCATGCAAAATGAAATGAGTTAAATTTAAAAAAAGCATGCAATGTTAGAAATAACAATGGAATATAGTTAGTGAAGCAAGTCAAAGCACATGCATAATAAAGTAAGTTAGTCAAATAAAGTAAAAAGCATGCAATTTAAGTGAGCAAAATAGACATGCAATACCGGTAATAACAGTGGAATAATTAGTAAATAACCAAAGGCATGCAATGTTAACAACAACAAAGAATAATTAACAAAATAAATAAAAGCAGCATGCAAACAAAGTAAGTCATATTAAGAAAAAGCATACAAAATAGGCGAATTAAATTAAAAATAAGGTATGCAATATTAGAAATAACAATGGAATAATTAATAAATAAGTAAAAAATAAGTGAAATAAAGTTTATATACAAGACAAAGCTTATATAAACTTTCACAATCAGTTAATACAAGAATTAACAAATTCAATTCTCATTACCATAACAAAACAAGAAATAACAAGCAAAGAAACAACAAGCCAAGAAATTAATCTGAGTTAAAGCTGCCATAATAACTTTAGAAAAAAAATGAGAAATGAAATTTTTTCCAAAAAATCATAAATAATTGAATCATTTCCAAAGATAAATTTAAGAAAATAAGTTAAAGAAAGAAAAGGAAAAAAAAAAATAAGCCAAATGTCAATACAACAAATACAAGTAGCAAAACATAAACATATAAATTGTTAAGAAATTGAACTAATAGCATAGCATTTCCTACTCGAAATTATAGTTTCTCTCAAATAACATAGGTTAAAGAAAGAAAAAACAACAACTATAATTGTCAATTTCTGAAAATTCATAGGAAGAGATAAATTAAACACAAAAAATGCCTAAAAAAATTTTTTTAAATTAAAAACTACGATGCCATAATAAATAATTATAGCTACAAAAAAAAAAATTGCAATAATAAAAATAAACAATAAATAAACAAAGCAGGCAATATGCATAAATACGAGGATACAACAGCGCTGAAGATACATTAAACAAAACTCCAATTCCTATTTGGACTAAATTCTCCAATAACCAATCAATGTTAAAATAAAATAACCAGTTGATCAAACATGATAAGTATACGAATGAAAAATATAAAGAAAAATGAAGAAAAAGAAAAAAAAAAAACATAACAAAACAAAATGTCACCACTAATATAATCTGCTACCCAAAACAAATGTATTAATATAAATTGAAAATATACACATCTATTCGAAATAAAAATACACTGACTGATTGTGGCATTTCAAATCATTAAATACTAAAATAACAAAAAAATTTCAATCCGTTCCTATCCTAGAGTAAAATAATTAAGCAATCAATGTGAATCATAATTAAAATTCATAACACTAATTTCATAGGATACAACACCCAGAAATAAGTATAAAGCATTACTTAAAATTAAAAAGAAAATTATTTCTAAAAACAAATTTATAGTACAGTCACACAAAGTGAAATTGAGAAGTAATAGAATCAGTATTAAATATGAAAAGAACTAACAATTTACAAATCATCTACAAGCCTAATAATATCATAATTCAACTTGCTAATAATTTAAATCTTCAATTATTAAAGAGTAAATTATAAAAGGATTAAAAAAATTTTTGTAAAAATAGCATTAATTAAATTGGATTAGGAAATAGCCATAACCAGAAAAATTCTGCTAAAATACCAACTAGTAATTACAAAAGTATTTGAACTGTAGCTACAAAGACCAAAATATAAAACATTATTTAAAATTCTAGAGATATTAAAGATACTATGCCTAAAAACAAACACAGCCAGAATTTCACATACCTATAATCGAGCTTGAAATGTAACCACATAAATTGAAGTTCATAAATTAATGAATCCATATCATATATAAAAACAAACCCTAAAAAGTTACAAATTATTTGTAAATCTAAACATATAAATCTAAGTCACCAATATTTTAAACACATTAATTATAAATATAAAGTGATTAATATATAAACAAGAATCTATAAAAAATGGCAACAATTAAATTGGATTAGAAGCAACTACAAAAGAAAAAAAAACTTATTAAAATACCAACTAGTAACTATAAATAACAAATTGTAACTAAAATGTTAAAAAGAAACAAGAAATATAGTAGTAAAATCATAAATAATAACAACAACGTAAATTCAGTGATAGAAAAAAAGAATAAATAATTGAAAATTATTTCAATTATTTATGAATAAATAATTAAAATAGTTTTTAAAAAGTTCCGAAATTTAGTCCGCAAAAAATAAGAACCGTCCATTGCAAATCAGACCATTCAAATAAATCCAAAAAATGCAAAATTTTTTCAAATCAATAAGAACGAAAAAAAAAACTAAAAAAAATATGGAAAAAGAAAAAATTAGCAAGAAAAAAGATAAGAAATAAATATTACAAACAAATAAACTAATTAATAGAAACATAAAAAGAGAAACACAAACAAAATCATTATTTTTAATATTTATTTTTGGTTTTTTTTGGTTTTTTTGTTGTTTTTTAATTTTTTTTTATTTTTCCATTTTTTTACTTTTTTTAATTTTTTTTCCTTTTTTACATTTTTGGTTTTTTTGTTTTTTTATTTTTTATTATTTTTTACATTTTTTTTTCTTGTTTTTATATTTTTTTGTTTTTTGTTTTTGTTTTTTTGTTTTTTTTGTTTTGTTTTTTTTTGAAAACGCGTTAAGGACCAAAACAAAATTAGAAAACACAAAATTATAGAAACAAAAACAAGTAATATTACTAAAAAGACTAATCCTAAGAATCCAATCCCAAACCATGTTATTTACGATTATGTCCCATAAGATAGCGAATTCTTTAAGAAAGGAGTGATTCCACCAAATAATTGGGAATAAAGTCGAAAAAATTTTTCACCAATAAATAGTAAACGAAGTCTCAAAAAATTCAAGAAGAAAAAATTTCAAGATTGGATTAGAACTTAGAAATTAGTCATTTAAAGCTAATAATTAGTAATATAAACAATAAACTTCAAACGTTAATAACTACAAAAAATATCAAAAATCAAAAAATGAATTAAAAAACCTCAAAAAAAAAAAAAAAGAGAAAACATCAACAATTTCAAAATCAGTAACCCAAAAAATAAAAAAATCCAGGATTAGTCCACTAGTTGAAAGAAAAATAAAAATACTTGCGTGAAGATGAGATTTCAGCGGGCGCAGGTTGGACAAGGATGGCTCTGCACAGGACACTGCTTCACTGGTAGAAATTGTGTCACACTTGCGCACCTGAAACAAAGTGCGAAGATTAATTGAGAACAAATAAATTAATACTTAATTAATACTTCTGATAACATTGTTTGAAAAGCAAAACTTTCACTTACTTGGGATGTAATAGTGCTGGGCCTCATCGCTTCTACCAGCTAGCTCGAGCCTTCTTCGCTTAACAGCCCTTTCATTTATAACGGTCTTTGTGGCCTTGGGACACCATTCCAAGGCGTGAAGCTCCATCGTGGCTGTTATTTCTTCATCGGAGCTCACATGCGGCATATCAATGAAATGGCCGCACTTCTGGCAAAAGCCTGAAATATATATACTTTAATAAGAAGTATATTTTACTTTGCTGGTAAAGTTACCAGTCACAAATGAACTTTCAAAAAAAATGGTTTCGAAAACTGCTAGAAATGAAGTGAAACTCACCATTCTGCCTGTGCATTTTGGCAGCATGGATTCGCCATCCTTTCAAGGTCCCAAATTCCTTCGGGCACATACCGCACTCTGAAAATATCATAATAATATCCAAACGCATTCAAACTGCTCATATAGGACAATAAATTTAAAATAAAATTTTTAACTGTACAGCAATAAAGCGAATTTAAATTTACCAATTGTAGTCGATCCGTCAGCATTTCGAATTACTGTGTACGGATCGATCTCCGGCGCCACTAATAGCTGCCGGTATTGAGGCGGTAAACCTTCCACTACCGGCGGTTGGAAGGGTGCCGGGCCAGACTGTACTGCGTCACAGTCTTCTTCTTCCATGACTGGAACGCGTATTGTTCGAGAACGCCTGAAATATATTTATTCAAGACGTTTAAAATGCTAGCTGCTACGAATTTAATTTTTATACAACATGCTCATTTACCAGTGTACTAAATTGTCCATCATTCTTTGCTATTTCTTCGTTAAAAATGAGACTTACAGTACTATTTCTCGAATTCGTTCCACTTGTCTGCGCCTTGGGACCTCTACTGACGCTGTCGGTACCACATCTAGCATTTCCTCATTCCATTCTTGTGGTACCGGCCAGCACTCCGCCACTGCAACCTCCTCTAAGCTGCTTTCATCGTGAACCAGTGCCGGTTCTGGTTCATCATCCCATATTTCCTGCTGCAGCTCGGCTTCTTGTTCTCGTTCGAGGAGGTCGAGCACGAGCATTTCTTCATTCTGGCGTAGTCTCTCCATTTCTTGCTCGTGCTCCAGGAGTTCTCGGAACACTTCTAGCTCCTCCTGGGGTGGCGGTGGAGTCGGGCGACGCGTTAAATCCGCCCTTGGGACGTCGAAGGCCTCATCCTCACGCTCTTCGAGCCCATTTTCTTCCAACCTCGCCCTCAAGTCATTAATCTAAAAAAAAAAAAATCATATGCAACTAACAACAAGTTCAATAAATAAATTAAACATCTACCATCAGTAAATTACATTCGAGATTGGAAATAAACGAGATTAAAAATAAAAAAATAAACATACCATGCTCGCCGCTTTCCGTAAATAATCCTCCAGCGCTTGGAGGTACAGCGGTTCATCGCGCAAGTGATTCTTCAAATCTACCAATGTTGGTAGATTTGGGCCATACATCTTAGCATCCATAATTGCTGAAAAACTACATATATATATAGCTAACGAATTGATAAATCATTTTAAATATTGAGTTTATTAAAATGAATTTTCTAAGATTACAATAGGAAAGCAATGAGTAAAATTTATCCACTCGTATTCTCCTAACAATCATCCCTACTGAATTTGTCCACTCTCAAAAAAAAAAAAAAAAAAAAAAAAGAATTTAATTCTAAAATAAAAACATTACAAATAGATTAGGGGACGAGGGAAACGGCAGGGAAAAACGACAAGTAGATTACTTTACTCGCAATACTATAAAGGAAGGAAAAGAAGAAGTAACTATAGGGAAGAAAGAAGAGAAGGAGTAACTACATAAAGGAAGGAAAAGAAGAAGTAACCAGCGCTGCACAGCTCTGTAATGATATATCAACTTGTTATCAGCTATATATATGGTGGATTATAGAAAGTCAAGGAAAAAAACCTCGACAGTAGACCATTTGCACTTCTGGAATCTCTTTTCATTGGTTGAATTGATAGATAGATTATAATACTGAAGCTGTATAATATCCCATTATTGGTCAAGATCTTGGTTATGTTTTAGCAATTATTAAGAGATCTTGCAGTTATGGTGAAATCATTTCCCAGATAGTTGGACATTGGATTATGTTGGCGCATTGACGTTCGTTTCAAGAAATTATATGGCTTTCAAATTTAGATGTTTTGCTATGTGTTAAAATATTTTTGATTTTAAATTATTGATTTTTTTTCTTTAATTGGTATAATTTTTTGTTCGTTTATTTGTATATTTTAGAATGATTGTATTTCTTTAGTTGCTTATTCTTCAGTTTGCCACAAAGGCTTTGTTTTATCGTCTGAAATTGATTTATATATTCTATTATGGTAAGTAGGTCTATAGCTTTGGTTATAATATTATCTCATGGCTATACTTATGTACTAATATTTTATTTTATTGAATAATTTTATCACAAATGAAAATATTTTGTTACAGATGTGCTTTCTGTATTTTTTAATGTCTAAAATCGAAATCTTTGTTTACGCAAATTAATATTCATTTTGTTGATAATTTGATTAATTTGTGAATATTATTATAAATATTCTAATTACACTGTTATTCGCAAGTTAAAGATGAGCAAGCAAAGTCACGTATATCTTCCTTATGCATGCAAAAGACATTAATACCAAACCATTGTAAGTACTTCAGCATCGGCACATTTACTCACCCATCCACTCACTTACTTATTTGTCAGCGTTTCACATAAACATTCCCTACTTCCTCTCTCTTTTCCCTCTCTCCCTCCCTTCTCCTCTATACCATAATTACTTCCCCTATATTTAGAGATGTTCAAAAAAAAGAAGGGGAGATATTTTTTGATTCCTACCGTTTACATTTCGAAATGTTAGTCACATTTTCTTTGTTTTCATAGCAAAGCTTTATTGTACTTTTTAAGTTCGATGAATTTTCATTGTTAAATTATAGATTGGATTAGAATATCATTTTGTGTTTTATGTAGTAGTCACGTGTAGTATCCAGAAGTAACATTTCAATTCTCCAGAAGATTCTCGAGTTTATTTTTTCACAAAATTTTATTCATCTTTCTTATGTGGCATTTAGTTAAGTGTTGATGTAAAGTGATTCAAAGTAGAATGCATTTTTGGACTTCAGATAAAACAATCTTGAAAGTTATTCCCGAGAAGTGTCATGTAAGCTAACCCTATCCCTCAGATATAATGACAAATAAAGGTAGCAGGAATGCTTGGATGGGTAATTCTGAGTTCTTGCTTTTGGGTAATTCTGAGTTCTTGCTTTTGGGTAATTCTGAGTTCTTGCTTTGGGTAATTCTGATTTCAAACAATAAAAGTGGGTTAGCTCTAGTTAGCACTTATAATTCTTAGTCTAAATCTCTTTCTTCCCGTTATTCTTTTATTTCACTGTCCAAATAATATTTCACATTTCGCGCTTTTTTTTACTTATTTCTTTTGAAAGCAATCCTTCCATGCATCACACTGGCAGTAGTAGCACTATATTTGTTAAACAGTTGTGAGAATGTTACTGATTTATTTGACAGATCTTTAAATAGAACTTTAAATAGAAACTAAAAAATGAAATCAATAAAACTTCATTTCAAATACAAGATAGGGAAAAGGTTGAGATATAGCGGAGGACAATTCAGGTAAGCATTCAATTCTTCATAATATCCATGAAATCAATGTAACAAATTAAACTTATCAGTGCACTTCTATTCATTATATGTAAAAAAAAAAAAGGTTGAAGAATAATCAATCATTTGAAGGCGAAGAAAAAGCATGTTATCATAAGAAAATGAATTAGTTCCACTGATTCCAAGTACCACTGAAATAGTACTGATGTTCCGCAAAGTGTATTTATTCTATAGGACTAAATAATAGATAAGGAATTTCGAAGTTGGAAGGAAAAAAAAGACAAACAAACTGTTCGTCAAGCAAAACGACAACTTTGTCGCCATGACCCGTATTTTATAAATAAAATGCGAGTGAACAAAATGAGCAGTAACCGGAATGTGATAGTAGTATATGAAGACCGGAAATGAAAGATGATGAGGTATCTTATCTTTTTTTCATAAATTTACAAATTTCAAAGATATGATCAGACTACAAAAAATAATATTTGTGTGCAAACGATCACAGTTATTAAATGCAACTGAAAGCTAACCGAAGTGATTAAATAAATGATTGATAGAAAAAAGAAAAGAGAAAAATTAGAAATTTAACTAGTTGAACTTAACGTTTCAAACAGAATTGATGTGCGACAAATATTAGCACAGGAAAACAGAATTCACTTCTCAATGGAGGAAATCACATATCTAAACATAGGGAAAAGCTAATGGTTCATCAATAGATTTGCTTAGACAGTTTACATCATCATTACAATGGACCTGAAAATGAAATTTGAAAAGTAAACTTCTTGTGTTTTCTAATCTCCAAAATATTTTTTAATAGTTTAACATTTATATAAACAGGTGATATACTATATGAATTTACTGCTATGCTCTTCATTAGGTGATACTAATCCAAATAATCCTTTTGTTCTCCTAAGCAATTTGTTATTCTTCTTGGCTTTAATTTCTGAACATTTAAAATTATTAACAAAGGAAATACTTACATATTGTAGCAGATGTTGCTTGTGATGATAGAGGATTTGTTTCTTTGTGATCGTATTGTTCATTAAAATTCCAAAGCTGTGCAAATGTTACTATTGGTATCGTAGTATTCTGTCCTGTTGACATTACCTAAACAAATAAGGAAAAAATCTAAAATATGAAATTGAAATAATAATATTTTACAATCAATCCTGTTATTCTTATTCTCATTTCGTTTGTATTCCAAATTGTTTTTTACTATTATTTTTAATTATATTCGTTCCAACTTCATCTAAAACTTATTGATATATTCTTCCTTCTCAATCTTTAGAAAAAAAAAAATTTATCGTTGCTTTGATATACTTTTTAAAATTATTTTTTTAACAACAATCGATTAAAAGCGTTAATGAAAACTCATTAAATTTTTAAATAATGTTATTGTTTAACTCCGTTAGCAATTTAATTTTTTCCTTATTTTTTCTTTTCATCCCTAGAATTATCATCAATTGAAAATAAACAACTTTGTTAATACCGAAGTAGTTAGAGTAGTATCATTTGTCGTTGTTGATTTTGATGATTGGAAATTGGCTGTTGATGATGGCACGAAGAATTCACTCAATATTTCACCACTATCAGTTACATCATCGAAGCATAGTTCACTTGGTCGTATATAAATTGGTATTGGTTCATTTTTTGGAGTTCTTTCATTATTATCGTTGGTACTTACTTGACAATTTGATTCCACAATCTAATAAACTAGATTACTTAGTAAAGCTTATCAAAAATTTAATTTTGCAAATTACATATCACACTAATAAGAATGAATCACTGGTAATTCCTTCATTATCTAATGTATTATCCATAAAATCATTTCTTTTCTATATTTTAATTATAGAATATTTAAAGGTTAATTAGTAATAATTATTTGATATTTATATAACATTTATAACCTTTTTTTGTCAATTGGTTTAAATTTCTTTTTTTTTTTTGGCTAAAAGAATCATTTCATTGCATTGAAGTAATTATTTGTATTATTTTAAATTGATATGGAATTTTATAGCACACCGAATTTGCAGTTACTGTGCTATAGTTGTAACTTGTGGATGGTTGATCATACATAATATTTGGTAATAAGGGTGACGATGCTGTTGTGTTGACTCTGGAAACTGTGGTAGATTCGAGTGAACTATTGGCATTAGCACTGGGACAGCTCTAAATAGAGTTTATTAGAAACATTCAAATTATCTCTGATTATTCGATTTGATAAATTTCGGAAAATAAGCAATGTTATAGTTACGTTAGATATTTTTCAAATATGGATTTGCTATCCGAAAACGAAAGTGAAATCCATGCGCTTAATACCACATTGAAAAATTAAAAAAAGTGATTTTTTTATAAAAATATTGAAAAGACTAATTTAGTTTAGTTTATTGATTTTTCCTGTTTCTGCAATTATTGCTGGAATTCTTGTAAAATTTTAGAATTAAAAAAAACATACCAAAAATGATTCATAAACGGTAGTGCCTTGTTCCCCAGTTACTATATGTTTCCTTTCATCAACTGCTTGTCTTGATGCTAAATATAAAACTTATGAATTACTTTTTTAAAAAATTAGAATTGAAAATGAAAATTTTCATAAAAGAAGTTAAATGCATTGATTAAAAAAAAAAAATTTAAGAATCGACATAAAAAAAACAATGTTTTTTACCGCTTCCACTGCTGTCCACCATTTTCACGCTAAATGACGGTGAGTGACGTGAAATGTTAATCCAGCGTAAAGGCTGTACTGGTATTACACTGGGTGATAATGCTGATGTTGACGAAGGCATTCTATAAATGCAAAGTTGAACGCATTATTTAAATTAAAATTCTGGAAATTTTGTCATAATTGGGGAAACCAAAATGGCGTTGATAAATAGTTAACGCTCATTTAAAACTAAGCGATCTGAATGATAAAATTTAGTTAATTAGATAAAATGAAATAAAAGTTGCTGCCTATTAGTGACCTAGAAAGTATTTACATGAACAAAATGAAAGTGAAATTAATACTTTTGACAGGAAAACATCGGTTCAGCTGTTCTCTGAGAATTAGTTATTGGATGTTAATTCCTTATCAGAAAGAAAAATTATTTACTTCATCATAATACATGAATCAACACTGCTTGTTTCAGATTTCAATTCGGTATCAAATGATGATCGTGAATCACCACCAACTGTTAATGTCATCAGATCGTTAGCCGTTGATCTTCTCATTGAATCATAACCTTCGTCATCCATTTCATGCATTCCATCTGTTCCTACCATTCCACTATTGCACTCCAGTGCTGTATTGATGGATTCTATGCGAAATATTACAGTTTAAAATTGAAACACTCATCACTGTTGTTAGCTTTGTAAATTTAATTTACTTCATACAAAACTGAAATTCATTAAGCACAAAATAATTGGTTTTTTTTTTTCGTTTAGACTGCATTTAGATATTTTTATTTTACAAATTGATCAAATTGAAGAAAAAAAAAAAGGAAAAAAAAACCTCTTAGCTTACTTTCTTTTTTCGGAATTTCTTTAAATTGCGTGGCTAATGCGTGAATTTCGCTAATAATACGATGCAATCGTAGTGAAAGCCCTCCATCGGTTTGTGCCAAAATATCCAACGATTGTTTGGCATTTCTCAGAGCATACCATGCTTCCTTTTCGCGGATAATACTATTCGTAGTAGAATTGGCTAACAATGTCGAATTATTTGAAAAGACTACAACAAATAGCATTTGTTTATTCTTTTTTTATCTTAATAATTTTCCCGAGTGTTACTGTAAATCATCATCCATTGTTTCTTAAATATTATTAATCCTTTACTACTTCATTATTCATTCTATTACAAAATCATGCGATTTTATCTTTGACACAGTAGTAGACAATAAGACTTAACGATGTGAAATGTTGAAAATTTCATTCAATTTAAGGAAAATAGCAGTTTGTTGATCGAGTAAAGAAAGTTTGATTCGCTAACAAATTTATCAGATGTTTTTGACGCCAATATTATCAACCGCTTCGATTTGACATTGTGTCATCACCTAATACTTTATTAAGTAACAAAATCTCTACTGTATATTAAAATTTCAATTATTCCAACTATAATTTGTGATAGTGATAATTAACTTTATTAGTGTAAGCTAAACATTAGCATACCGTCAAAATCATCCCTAAGGGTGGTAGGAAATCCTTGTAAACCATCCATTTCTTGTTTATTGAAATGATCAGGAAATGCCTCCTGTAATAGGTTGTAAAAGATGTAACAAGATTTTGTTAAGAAAGAGAAACGAACCGAATGAACATGTTACCATTTCAGGAAATTAGGATTACTTTGAGTTGTCTGGTGGCATTTGTTGTTGGTGCCACACTCATGAATCTTCCATCGCCAAAACCTTGACGTAAGAGCATATTGCATTCACGTGCTAACGTACGAGGTGATCGGAATGTTTGACATTTCTTTTTCATACAGCGATATGCTGGATATTCCTAGAAATAAATTCTCAGAACATCTGTGCAACGCTGTACGGTAAAAATTTCCATTTCATAATTTTTATGTCAACGGATTTAAAGGAAAAAAAATATAATATAAATAATATGTATTTATGTTATAGCTAAATATAAACTTTTAATTGATTTATTGACCCTTATTTGCTTATCTAAAATTTTTGAATTTAAGCAAATTTTGGATAAGCCATTTTTTAATTTTTCTTCACACGTGAAAAAGCTTTATTCATTATTACCTTTACAGTATTTAGGTACTTTACGCGACGCATAAAAAATTTCATTGAGGAACCGCAACGATGGCATGGGATACATTTTTTGGTACACATCAACTGCAGATCATCAGCAGGATCCAGACGACGTAATACACTTTCCTCCGGTTGTCCTCAATAGTAATTCTATTCAAATCAAAACTCATGTCATTTGAATTTCTTATTTAGAAATCAAATTTAAGTTAATAAGTGCTTTATATATATCACTGATGTTAACGCACAGAATATAATTTTCATGTGATTTTGAAACATTCTAAAGAGTTAGCAATGAAAATAAGTATTACTAAATAAGTAATGAAGAAAAACTTTATAACATTCAAATAGTCAATTTAAATTCAAATGCGAGTTGCGATGTTTGTAATAATTTTGAATTTCAAAATTAGCTTTCTTGACAGACAATAAGCGATGCACAACGATACAGTTGGATGCTAATAATTGCTGTCTTGGATTAGCTTTTATATGTGAGATATTAAATGATATCATCAGATATTACGTATCAGATAAGGTCATCTTTATCATAAGGTTAACTATCAATTGCAAATTGCGCCTCTCTCATTCATGCATACAATATCTTTACAGATTATGTACGACCACATAAAGCGCGTAAGCTATTGAAGATGTTAAGAGTGAATATTAAAATTACGG